CATGAGCTACTTCCACGATTTGTTCACATCTACCAATGTTCATAATGTGAAGTCGATGCTTATCTGTGAAAGTTTGCAGCTCAAATGTTCAGAAGTCAAAGACTTACTCTACTCTGGAAGAAGAAGAGGACATTGAAGAGGACATCAGAAAATGGAAAGATGGCCCCTGTTTCTGGACAGGCAGAACCAATATTGTCAAAATAGGCATATTTCCAAAATTGATACACAGATTTAATGCAAGCACAATCAAAATACAATAGCATTTCTCATAGACCCAGTAGCATTCTTCACAGTGAAAACAATTTTACCATTCAAATGGAACCAGAAGAGACCCAGAATTGCAAAAGCAACCCTGGGCAACAAGAGCAAAGGAGGAGACATTACAATACCTGACCTCAAGTTATACTGCAAAGCAACAGTGATAAAAACAGTGTGGAGCCAGTTGTGGTGACACATGCTTATAATCCGAGCACTTGGGAGGCTGAGCCAAGAGGATCGCTGCAAGTTCAAGAAGAGCCTTTGGTACATAGTGAGTTCAAGGCCGGCTGAACTACATACTGAGACCCTGTTGCAAAACAAAAACAAAAACATGGTTCTGTCACAAAAACAGGTGGATCAGTGGAACACAATAAAGGATAGAGAAACATCCCTAGACACATTCAGCTATTTGATCTTCTACAAAGGATCCAAAAACATATGTTGGAGAAAAGATAGCCTCTTTAACAAATGGTGTAGGAAAAACCGCCTGTCTACATGCAGAAGGTTGAAGCTGGACCTATATCCCTCACCATGTACTAAACTAAAATCAAAATAGATCAAAGATCTAAACATTAAGGCAGAAACAATACAAAAATTACGATAAAATAGGTAGAAAAACACTTGAAGTCATAGGTGTAGGCAAAGTCTCTGAACAGAACTCCAGTTGCACAAGAAATAACAGCAAGATTCAACAAATTAGGTTATATCAAATTAAGCTTCTTTACATCAAAGGAAATAATGATCCAAGTGAAGAGATAGCCTACAGAATAGGAAAATTTTTTTTGCCAGCTATTCCTCAGAGAACTAATATCTAGAATATGTTAACTCAAAAAGATTAGACTACCCAAAATAGAAGACCCAATCAAAAAATGGGCAGGTGAAATGAATAGACGCTTCTCAGAAGTAGTACAAATGGCCATTAAACATGAAAATATGTTCAACATCTCTGGCCATTAGAAAAATGCAAATTAAAACAACACTACGATTTCATCTTACACCAGAAAAATGGCAGTCATCAAGAAATTAAATAGCTACATGTTGGGAGGCTGAGGCAGGAGGATTGCTGCAAGTTCGAGGACAGCCTGGCCTACATAGGAATTTAAGACCAGCCTGAACTACTTAGCAAGGCTCTGTCTCAAAAAAGAAAGAAAAAGAAAAAAAGAAGTGCTGGCGTGGCTATGGTGAAAAGGGAACCCTTCTACAGTGTTGGTGAAAAATCAGTGTGGTGATTTCTCAAAGAACTAATATTAGAAATTTCATTTGACCCAACTATCTTTCCAAAAGAGCTAAAGACATCATATTACAGCAATACATGCATACCAATGTTTATAGCAGCACAATTCATAATATCTCCATCAACCGATGAATGGATAAAGAAAATGTGGTATCCCCAAAGGAAAACTACTTGACTATAAAGAAGGATAAGTTTGAGACATTTGTAGAAAAATGGATATACCTGGAAAATGCAATATTAAGTGAAATAAATAGACACAGAAGACAAGCTTAAATATCCTGTGGTATCTCTCATTTGAGTAAGGCAAAGTGTAAATAAAGAGCAAAAGATTGATAAAAGAAAACAGGGAGATAGATCTTTTGTAAACAGGAAGGGGTCCCAGAGACCAAAGGGGAGGGGAGGAGGGAGAAGAAGGAGAAGTAAAAAGATTTAAGATGTGTCATGTACATGTATCAAATACTCACAGTGAATGTAAACATTGTATGTCATAAATACAAACTAATAGTAATAGTAATAATAATGAAAATGGGGAAAGGGGATCTAGAGATGGAGCGAGGGAGAGCATGGGGAGGTGGGGGGGAATAAAAAAGAATCAAGATATGTTATGTACATGTACCTACTCCATAAGATGAATGTAAACTTCATGTATTACAAAAATGTATTGATAAAATTTTGAAAGAGAAAAAGAAATAGGCAGTTAAAAAGGAAAACATTCAAAAAAACAAAGAGCATTTAGGAATAAGAAATGATTTAATATGAAAGCAATAAGAAAGTTGATACTAATCCCCAAACTATGTGCTCGCTTCAGCAGCACATATACTAACCCCAAAAGTACTAGAAACACAAGTAAAAAACTAGCAGTAAATAAAATTAGATTAGTTTTAGAGGGTTAGAATCCAATTGCTGGAGGATCACAGTGGGGAAGTGGCATGAGGGGAGCCCCAGGAAAATAATTTCAAATTATCCAAGAAATCTCAAATTATCCAAGATATTTCCTAGTACTGAATGATTGGAATTTCCAGTTTATTCTTTTTTTTTTTGGTACTGGGGATCAAACTGACAACCTTGAGCTCGTGAGGCAGGCAGCAGCACCACTAAATCCCCAGCCCCTGGAATTCCCAGTTTAGAAAGGACTCATCCCCAGGCATGGTATAATCCCAGCACTTGGGGGGCTGAGGCAGGAAGATTGCTGTGAGTTTGAGGCAAGCCTCAACTACATAAATGAAACCCTGTCTCAAAAAATGCCCCCCAAAAGGACTTACTTAGTGCCAGCAAAATGAGTAAGAAAGACCCATTTCAAGGTACATAATTTTCAAGTTACAAAACATAGAGATAAAGGATTCTCAAACTTATCCTAGAACAAAAAGCAAACAAGTTAGAGTCAGAGATTAGATGGCACATCTTCTAGCCAGCAGCACTGAAAATTAAAAGACAATAAAGACAAAATTAAAAGCAATGCTTTCAAAAGTATGAGAAGAAAGTTCTGACCTTATTCTGTGTACCTAATCAAACTACTACATACAAGATAGTGGATACAGTATTAAGGATAGAGTAAAAGCATTCCAAGACATGTAAGATCTTTAAAATCTTGCTTCTTGTGCACCCTTTCTGAGGAAGCTTTTAGGTGTATGCATTCAGAAAAGAAAAGAAATAAATGAAAAAGAAGGCAGGATTACCAGGGATCTGACATTGTTAAGGAGGGAGGTTTGTATAGCAGGCCTAGGAAGTGGTCAGCTCAAACTGTGAGGACAGAAGCCCCAGGAAAAACCCAAACAGCAAATTACCTAATGTATTTGAATATATTGAAAGGAATTTCATGGTTGTGTTTTTGGGGGATGAACAAAGTGGGAAAAGGCAATTATTAACTATTAAAAAATAAAATGTTGGGGCTGGGGATTTGGCTCAGTGGTTCCGCCCCCTCCCTTGCAAGCACAAGGACCAGAGTTCAATCCCCGGTGCCAAAAAAACCAAACGAACAAAAAAATAAATAAATAAAATGTTGTCTGAGAAAGAAAATCCAGCAGTACTATACATGGCTTAGTTGTAAATCATATTCACAGAATCATAATAAATAGTGAACATAGATAGATCTAACTGAACATTGTGAAAGAACTCCACTGGAAGGATGAGGAAAATGGTCTTACTGTGAGAGGAGTACTGCAAAAGTAGAAGTAAATCCCCATCTTCTATAATAAGAAGTCAATAAATATTTACAAAAATCTAAAAAATAATGCTTTTACAGCGATACGTATATACCGCTGCTTACGTAAGCACAATTTATTATAGCTAAATATTAAAAATGGCCTGTATGTCCATCAGCAGATGAATAGATAAAGAAAGTGTGGTATTTGTACACAATGGACTACTCCTCTGCCATAAAGAAAGATAAATGAGTCATCTGTAGGAAAATGAATGCACTTTGAGACCATAATATTGAATTAATCAGACACAGCTTAAATATCATATGGTTTCTCTTATATGAGAAACTCAAAATATAAATGAGTAAAATAAAAGATAGATCATAGGAAATAGGAAGACTGATCTTTTGTAAAAGGGAAGGAAGGACCAAGAGATGGGAGGAGGATGAAAAAAGAATTAAGATGTGAATGTACATGTAACAACTTCCTTACAAGGAATGTGATCATTATGTACTATAAACATGTACTAATAAAAAATTGAAAATAAAGATAATACTATAACCTTACTATGGAAGTAAATGCAAGAAGAAAGCTAAGAGAAGCCATGCATAGTGGCACATACTTGCAATCCTAGCACTTGGGAGGCTGAGGCAGGAGAATCGTGAGTTTGAGGCCAGCCTGGTCTAAATAGTGAGTTCAAGGGCAGCCTGAACTACATAGTGAGACCCTTGAGACCCTGTCTCAAAAAACTAAAAAAAAAAGAGGAAGAGAGCTAAGAGAGTTAAAAATGATTGCCTCTGGAGAGGGAATTAGGAATGGTAGCATAAGCTTGGCATAATTTTTAAACATTTTTCATATATTTTTGTAAAATATGAAATGTTTAAATATAAGAAAATTAGGACACTTAACCTATGCATTTCACAGTTAAGTATTGTACAAATGTAAATTATTATTACCCTGCTCTTTCTAGAAATTATAAAAAAGCTTTATAAGCTGGCAATACAGGCTTTCCTTTCATTCATTTTTTTACCCCTTTGTTCCCACCATCTATATGCCATGTTGGCTCTGAAGAAGGAATTATAGACATACTCTTCAGTGTCTAGTTATATATCTCTGATTTAGTAATCCATTATTTTACTGATGTGAATGAGAAGGAGGTGTTTAGATATTACCACTTTCTGATTCATATTGTGGATACTTTTTTTTTTTCTTCCAGATTTTCCTAAGGAAAATCCTGATATTTTTCTTCTCTTTTGTCTAATCATTTGCATTTATGCAATTGAATGATTCTGCATATTTTGTTCAAGCCTATGATAGTTTCCTAATTAGTCTTGTTCTGTTCATTTTAACACATTTTCTCCCGTGATCAGGGCCGCAAGCTTCTTATCATTGGGACCACTAGCCGCAAAGATGTCCTTCAGGAAATGGAAATGCTTAATGCCTTCAGCACCACCATCCATGTGCCCAATATTGCCACAGGAGAGCAGCTGTTGGAAGCTTTGGAGGTGAAAATGAGTCCATGGATTGCACACTGTTGACTGTTTATAAGAAAGGTGTTGAGGCTGGAGATAATGCTGAGGGATTCACAGCTATTGCACCTGGTGTTTGGTTTCTAAGTTAACCTAGAACATGAGAGGGGTATTGCTTCCAGATATTTTCAAGAATCAGAGGAAGAAGAGTACAGTTGACAGTGAAGTCATTAGTTTTCCATTCCTTGGTGTAGATGGCACACAAACTGCCAGGAGTGAATTACTCTGTGCTCAGCATGCATGGAGTGCATGTAGATTATGTGGACCAAGAACTTGGATGGGTGAAGAAGGTGCAAGGTTGGGGGCAAGGTAATCGCTGTGTAGAAAAATTGGTTATTCAAAGTGGCTGTCAGCACATTTCCTTGTATTAAGCAAATTGGAATGATTTAAAGCCTTAGAAACTTCAAAAAAGCTATAGAAATAAAAGGAATGTTACTAACAAGTTTATAATGCAGAAACGCTGGATACAGTGAAACACTTGAAGTCTCAGCTACTTGTAAGGCTGAAGTAGAAGGATACCTTGAGGCCAGGAGGTCAGGACCTGGGCAACAGAGTAAAACCTCATCCCCCCAAAAATGGAGGACGGGATGTTTTCTTAAATTTTTTGTTTAAAAAAATGTTCTTCATTGAACTTTTTATTAATATTAATATACACAGGGCCAGGGATTTAGCTCAGTGGCACTGCGCCTGCCTCACAAGCACAAGGTCCTGAGTACCAAAAAAAAAAAAAAATGAGGGAATCCCATCAGTCTAACCTAGTAGGCAGCTTAACCCAGCCAGGTAGCTTTTACCACTGTTCTCTTAAGAGTAAATGTGAGAATTAACTAACGTTGTTAATGTATTTACTGCAAAAGTGCTTTCATTATTGCTTATTGTTTCTGTAGCTTTTGGGTAACTTCAAGGATAAAGAACGTACAACAATTGCACAACAAGTCAAAGGGAAGAAAGTCTGGATAGGAATCAAGAAGTTGCTAATGTTGATCGAGATGTCCCTGCAGGTAAGGTCCTCCTTTTCTGCATGATTCAGGCATAGAAACTTCACAATACACCAAGAAGTTTCAGTATTTCCTTTGCTTAGGTTTTAATTCATTTGTTATAATTCTTATATTATTTCTAAACTCAAAGTAGTATTAGTAGCCTGCTTGTAAGATCAACTAATAACTTAATTCTTTCTCATGTCTTAAAATTCAAAACTAGAAGAAAATATTGTAAAATTACTTTTAGTTTTAATCTAGAGTCACTAGATCTTGAAACTAGAAAGAACTTTAAGGAGCAATTGTTTAGTTGTCCCCTTGTTTTAGAGATGCATGTATTGTGTGTCCACAGGTTATCAGTGAATTAGCCAATATCACATAGGCAGTTAGGGTGGAAGAGGGATGGTATAGTCCATCAGAGGTCAGTAAGTTGGTGTACATATACCAAAGGAGGTCTAGGAGACTGCTGTGAAGGACTGACTAACTGAGCTATAGACTAGACTTGAGCTCTATGTATTTTCCCCTGACTAGGCTCCTAGAAATTTCTTTCAAATTACTGTAGCACTAATGCATCCAACATCTCATAGAAGACTAAGCTTGCTGCCTGAGAAGAGACAGTTGAAACTTCTTTGGGACTTTCTCAATCACCTGGCAACTTACCTTTCCCCTTTTTAGAATTCCATGCCTCCATGTGCCAATCCTATGTCTTCCGGTCCTCATTTGAAATACTAAATAAGTATATCTCTACCAAGCTCTGTGAGTTCGGATACCATGGCTCTCACTGTCCAGTCTCTGGAACAGAGCCAGACACATAGTAGGTTACTCAGTAAACTTTCATTGAATGAATGAATGAATCCCAGACTTGATTGGGCAAGAAAGCCTTGTACATTACTGAGCAGATCTCCCCTTTGGCCAGTATGAGCATTGGGGGCAGAGAGGAAGTTCAGGCAGTTATGGTTATATCTGAAAGAGGCTCTTAAACCAATCACAAAATGAAAACGAAGTGAATGCTTTTAATTTTAAACCCTTTCTGGAAAATTTAGTTTAAATAAAATTTTTGTGGTTTTCAGAAACCTCAATCTACTGAACTTTCAGATGGACAATTTATTTTCCATTATGAGCAATAAATTAGTCACAGACAAAGCACTTTGCTCAGGCTTTTTTTTTTATTGCTTAGGCTTATTTCTGATAAAGGTACACATACAGGTGCATTGGCTCTTTCCTTGAGAAAAAGATAAATCTGTCAAAAAGTCAGCTCTAGTCTTGTTCTTCTAGTTTCAATTTTTTTTTTCAATAATTGCACAGAAGAAACTATGTGGGATTTTCTCTTCAACTTCTTTCCCTTCCTCTTCCTTTGATGCCTGCAGGTCAGTGAGGAAGGTAATGCCTCTTATATATATGGGGTAGAAAAAGAGAGGGGCACTCAGACCTAATCTTGAGCGACTGACACTTCATAGGCCTCTGAGGTTGAACCCCTCATGTCAAATGGATTCTGTGCAGCTGAGTGGCTTCTCTTTAGATCTGCCTTGCAGAGACTGAGCCCCAGTGATGAGGCATGTAGTTTAGGAGAATGTAAGTCATGTTCCCTCTCTGTTCACCATACACAATTCTGTTAAAACTTGCACAGTGCTGAAGATCTGCTCTGACTGGATGTCACCTGAGGGAATAAAGTCATTTATCTAGATTACTTTTTTCTTCCCTTTCTCTTGACTTTTAATTCCATAGCTACAGGCAAGTCAGTAAGTCGTTGCTCACACATATTAAATATGTTTAATGGGCAAAGACCTGCAAGTACTGACTACAACTGAGCTCCAGCCAGTTCCATTTTTTAAAAAGAACTTGACAATTGATTCATATGTAATTCTATTCCCAAAGAGGAAGGAGGTTTCTTTTGTTAGCAGTTCCTACTTTTTCTTAGTTCTTTGTAGCCTGACCTCTTAACTTTGATAGATTTGAAACTTCTGTTCAATGTTTTCTGCGATAGAAGAGAAAAAAATCTTTTAAAAATAATAATAAAGTAGATGGAGTGGGGAATACAGTTGCACACTCACCCACAGCTGCATTTAGCATCTGAAAGCTGTTCCTGGAGGGCAGGGAGTTCCCTTCTGGAAACAGAGTTCTACCCTAGTACATGTTTTAAAGGTGAGGTGTGTTTCTTACAATAAAAATTCATCTTAATAAATTAAAGATATTTTTAATGATGGTTCTTTAGGTAACTTCACATCTATGGTAGATCAATGAGCATAAAATGTATTTTAACAAATTAATGTAAATATGAATATAGAATGAAAATCAAGAGCGATAATAACCAGAACCAACCACTTGAATCAACCCCTACCATCCTTTCTTAGATCCATAATATGGTCAGAGAGACCCAGTTACCCAGAGAACATATCAGAGTCAGCAGCACTCTTCACTGTTTTCTTTGCAGCACAACTTTTCCATTCATTGCAGAGAAGAAACTATGCAAGGGACACTGGGCCTAAGCAAGCTTAAGTTGATTAAATAGAGGTATTAAGCTATATTTTGGTTATTTCATTAACCTCAATTTGGTTTCTTTAAGTTTGGTTTACTCTTATACTAGTCCTATGAATTGGATGTCATTTGAACTGCCATGAATGACCAGAGGTCTGGTCTCACAGGTGATGCCTCACAGGTGTGCTATGCCTCTCTGCACCGGCACCAGCTGAAGGAACATTTGGCCGAGGTGCCTGCGACTAGTGGGTCAGGTTATTTGTATCCAATGCACAGCAGTTCTCCATGAAGGGAAGTACTGTTTGCTTCTGTTAGATGACATAATCTGCTTTGTTATGTATCAAATCACTGGTTAAGGAACAGGTGACACATTTCTGTGACTCAGTAGAGTACTGCTGGAAGTATGAAACCAAGTATTTCCCTGAAGCATTTTCATGAAGTAAGTGCATAGTTGTTAGAAGGCACTATTAACTTGTCTTTTTTATTTCTTCAAATGTATTTAGATGGATCCTGAGTACCGCGTGAAAAAATTTTTGGCCCTCTTAAGAGAAGAAGGAGCGTAAGTACATGAAGCAAAGATCACCAATTAAATGGCCTGCTCTGTTAAATCCCAATGCCTACCCTAAGAGTTGCACACATGGAATATGAATTTAACAATTTCTTTCCTAGATAACTTTGTTTCCTTTTATTAGAATTTTTCCCTGTGTTGTAGGTCTGAGAGACCAAGCAAGGAAGTTGGTTCTGTTGGTTTGCTCTCCCTGTCCTGCTTCGCAAAACTTCCTTGTCAGAATGCAGGAAAAAATTTGATGGTACATATTTATTAGAACCTGCTTTTAAATGCATGGAGCTGTGACCATTCTTTTGCAAATTCATAGTGGAAAACATAGATAAAACATTAAGCAACTCTTAGTGATTTCATGATGAATGACTTTTTGCAAGCGCTCATCTATTTTGTTTGTGTTTCTGGGTATTTCTTTTGCAGTAGCCCCCTTGACTTTGAAAGTGGACTACAGTGACCAAGGGAAGTGACCAAAGTGAAGATGGCCTGGAATCTTCATTCATCTTGCTCAAGATACTGGACTAAATGAACCACCTTCAAAATGTACTCGCTTGCTTTGCATGATTAATGCAATAATACTCCCTTCCTCATGCTTATTGAGATAGTCTAGTGTTTTGTGAAAGGTGTAAACTTGTTTTAGAATGCTGTACTTACCTTTCCATACAAGCTCATTCCTTCTGAGAATCTGTGTGTGGGAGACATGCTGTATTTGAGCACACTACACATTTAAAGCTCCCTACTACCACCATTCATCCAAAACTGTCATTGTATGTAACACAAAACAACACTTGGCCTGTTAAAAGGAAGACTTCTACATGCAAAGAGCAGTGAGTAGAGGTGTGGCTTCTGAGGGATTCTGTTACAGCTTCCCTGTATTAACACTAAAAGTAATTGGGTATTTGTTAAAGGTCCTCCCATAAACAGGGATTTGAATATCCGAGATCCCATTTTTAATCATTTTCAGAGATGTTTCCAGGCAGCAATCAGGAGATCTTTCTTATTAGAAAGTCAGATTATTACTGTGTTGGCTGTGACATCCCCTTAATGTAATTAACTGGCTCTGTGGTAAGAGATATGCTGATCATTACCACTTGGAGATATTGCTAAAGACTATATGTATGGGAAAATGTACACCCCTAAACAGAAAGGAGTTATTAAAATAAAGTAATTCACAAACCTCTCAGCACTAATTAGTGTCCAACTGTAAGTGGGTCATTTCTTTAGGATGATATTAAAGGCTTATTAGTGTTATCACTTTTCTTTTTTCCTTAGCCCAGTGACTTAGAATTTGTCATTCCTATATTTTAAATTTTCTGTGCTATCTGGCATGAAAATAAAACACTATTATATATACCAAAAAATAAACCACTTTCTAGCCCTCTGCCCTGAACAGTCCTTTAGCATCCATGTTTTGAAGACTGCTTCATCCAAGTGCTTCATCCAAATGCTTTAAAGGCACTTCCTTTACCCTCCACACATTTCTTCCGAAGGGTAGAAGAGCTCATAGAGTCCTTTTGAAGGTGGTATGTCTCATCACTGAATTAGAAACAGTTTAATTAGGTCATCATTTGTGGTGATGACGTTTGCAGAGCATGCCATTCTCCCCACTGCTGCTTAAAACTTGAAGGCAAACGATCAGAAGCCATCCTAAAGTGCCTGTGTCACACACTGTCTAAGAGGCTTGTCACTGCAGTAGCACTTGGGTATGGCTCTGTCATCTGTCCCCACGGTAGGAAGCAAATCATCTCCAAAGCTTACTCTCTGTGTCCTTTTGGGTTTTCACCCCTAGCTTATTTTGTGGCTTTTAAAACAGTAGATTATATTGTGAATTCTATGATTCCTGGTGGCCAGTATCCTGGATTCCCTGTCTTTGCGATCTTGCCTCTTTCCCCCTCCTATGAAGCAGCACACATTGTATTAACTTGTGTCTCTTGTTAAATGAGGTTAATGTCTTTGTGTTTTGTCCAAAGCTATATTGAAAATATAATTATATTGTTCAGTGCAAATGAAGGAATGCAATAAAGAGTAAATTTATCTGAAAATGTTCTATAGACCAATACTTCATACAAAACAACAAAGATCACTAATAGGAACATATGAAGAAAAGAAACCCCTCCTTGTTTTGTTACATCATGAGGAGATGGGTGATATTTTTATTTAAAAGTCTCTTATTTAGAAAGTACAGTTATTTAAAAAGAAAAGATTATTAGCATATCAAAAGATGCTAATAAACAACAATCTTAATGCTTTATACAAAAACTGAGGTAGTTACTGAAAGCCATAAACTGTGTAAGACACCACCAGAAAGGGAAGCTGTTTCTCAGAATTATTCCTTCCAGTGAAATGTATAAATCAAGGGACAGTTTCAGTGAGATTTCTTCCCACACTTCATTTTGGTGTCCTTTATAGTTTTCATATTTTTCTGAGCCATCAGATCTCTTAGCCTAAACCCTGATCCTCAACATTGGCTCAGGTTAGGGCAAAGGCACCCCAGAAAATCAGCAAAGCTCTGTAGGGAAGAGACCAACTCCAAAAACTTCTCTGACAGCGGAGTCAGCACCCCAGGAGCTGTGGAAAGAGGACACTCGGCAGAGTGCCTCTGTGCAGTGTGGCCTGGTAGAGCAAGGAGCTCCAGCTGCCTTGAGTTTTTTGTGTATGGGTGAATTTAACCAGTAACTTCAGAAAGAGGTTATTTTATCCTTCTTAAATTTATTTTTACATTTTCACTGAGGAACTCTTTTTTTTTTTTTTTTTTTGGTTCCAGGGATTGGGACCTTCCACTTGCGAGGCAGGCGCCGGAACCACTGAGCTAAATCCCCGGCCCCTGAGGAACTCTTTTATAAAATGTAATACAGAAAAATTGTGTAATTTGGTTAACACCTGAAATGTTTTGCTTTACAGCTATCTTTACATAGTATAAAAATTAGTTTCAGCCACAATCACAAAATTATGGAGTAGATTGAAGTGTATATAACCAAATCCTGATCAACAGACTTGCTGAAGCATTGAGACAGTTATAAAACAAACAAAAAATCACCAAACCCAAACAGAGAAGGCAAAGGTGGGATTTCATTTTTTTTTTTGCCTGGCTGCTTGATCCATAGCCTCTTCAAAGAAGTGACTGGGCAATGTGTGTTTGACAGTTCAGCAAAGCATGTAAATTTCAGAAATCATTGCAAGATGAACTTAAGTTCCTCAGCACCTGGCAGCCATGCTGAGACTGGGTCTGAGATGAGCCTGTAGGGAGTGTGTGCTGTGTCGGCACCATGACATTAAGATGTAGTGCCTGTGACTGAATCCCAAGTAACTGAGGACAGAATTTGCAAGGAAAACTCATTTTGAGATTTTCCCAGCACATAATTCCCCCACAGCTGACTTAGTCTCACCATTTTGGGACTATAAGATTAGTGGTAAGACAAATGTTTGCTCCCTAGAGAGTTTTCCGTTGAGCTAGAAGTGATGGTAGTAGAGCAGCCACACTTGTGCTGAACTAACTTCCTTTCAGCATGTAGACCAGCCATGGCATTAGTGCAAGTCTCTACTCAGGGCCACATGGATGAAACCATCTTCTCTTGCCTTCCTCAGTTTTTTCCTTATCTTCTTCCCTTTTGCCTGTATTTCATCTCATCCTTGAACTCACACATATATTCCCCCTTCCCTACCTTTTCTACAGTATAGTGTTTGTGGAGCTAGCAGGAAGGGCCATTTCTACTCACGAGACATGAAAACCTAGTGAGGAGGGAACTGAGGCAGTAGCCGGCCCCATCATCTGCTGGCCTTGACCCACATCATTTAGGAGTATCTGAGACATTAATGTGTATGATGAAAGTGCTCAAGTCTATGAAATTAATTACTGCCCAAACTAGTTATTTCTAAAACCAAAAATTTGTTAGAGGTTGACTAAGAACAAAATAAACCATAAGTCCTGTAGCAGACCAGACCTATCTTCATGACATCGCAGGTGATCTTGCTCAGAGAACAAGAGGAAATGACCTTAATTTGGTCATTTAATTAGCTGGGGCCACCACATTTAGGTTCATACTCATGACTTCCTGAGCATGAATCTGAAAACTCCACACATGTACAATGTATCCGTTTTAAGTTTTTTTTACCTTCTCTTTAATGACTTTAACAGAAAAAAACTGCATGATGAAATATATTTTCTCCAAATATATATATATTTATATAATATATAATCTTAGTTAACTCAAAGATATATACATTGTATAATAAATAATATTTATAAAAAGACTTTTTGAATATAAAATCAAAAAGAACAACTTCTACAACTTTTTACAAAACTTTGGATACAGCAGGTTGATAGGAAATTTCCATTGGATACTATTACCTGACTATGGCGGCGAGAATAATTACAATGCACTCATGTACTATTATTAAATAATTACTTGTCAGCTACTTGAATACGCCCCAGAAACATGACTTTATCACTTTTAATATAGAATACATAGATATGAAAAGACTTAAAAATTTGTATCCATTCTGCTGAAGTATTCTCACATAAACCAAGCATTATCCCGTTGACATGATTTAAAACTGTTCAGTCTACAGTGAGATGGGGAGGACATGTCAGACTCTGTGGAGGGGCAGGGATATTTATCTTTAGCAGTACTCCTGGTCATCAGGTTCGAGAGTGTGGGCAGCTCCTGGATGACCATCCTGGAAAGCCCGCCTGTAAAACCCGGAGATTGCTGACCCAGTATCTTAGGTCATGGTTAGGTAGACCCCAGACAGAAGGAAGGAAAGATAGGTCTTTATTCTGCTCTGTTCCCCTTATGCAGCTTCTTTTTCTGATTCTCCTTAAGAGAGAGTTGTTGGATGGATCCAGACTATTAAATCCATCTGCCTCCATTTGGCTAGCTTCCTCCAGGACACTCAGCAGGACCAGTGTGCATCAAGGAGAACTCAGCTGGGAAATGCTTTATCCCAGGAACAAGTGACTGCTTGCTCTCTTTGAACGCCTAATCCAGATCCTTGGTAACAGCAAAGATTGATGCTATCTCACATGCGGGTGAGGGGGAAGAGCTTTGTTACAGAACTCTGCATTTCTGTTTACTCACACAGACCAAAGAGGGGAAAGAATGCAGGAAGACCCATCCTTATTGGAGAGCAAAATGAATCATTTCACCCTTTCCATCTATTAGTCACTACACTGGAATTGCAGTATAGATTTCTGCTCTCACTGGTGCTTTGTCAAATGTATACTAAGGCAACCTAGAGTCCAACTGCTCTATCTGGGGCTGCTTTTATGGAGAACCTGCAGGTGAGCAGGGCTGGGAAGGACTGAACAGCCCCTGCCGAAGACACTGCTTGTTTCTGTAGAAAGCCATTTGAGCTGGAGAAGACTTGTCCCATACATAACCTATCTATATACAATGTCCACTGCAAGAAAATTACTGCAGAATGGTAGGAGAAAAGATATTGACATCTGACTGCCTCTCGTGCAGAACAAGTTTACAGAGAAAATGAGGCTGAAAACCCAGTTACTCTTCAAATAAGTCACCCAAAACTAGTTCTTCGAAACTCAGCCTTCCTTGAACAATCGCTGAGGACCTCCCCAACACTTCATCCCAGTTACACCTATGGCTTTTATCAGAATGGAAAAGTGTATCCGATTTGAATGGGAGTAGACTAAGGAGACTGCAAGGGTTTGTCCTACTTCCCAGCTCCCACCCCACAGGCATCCTGGACTGTGACCATGAGAAGCAGCTTGGAGACAGAATTTTGCCCACGCTTGTGTATTTACCACCGGGCCGAGAGCTCACATTAGCCCAGCCTGTTCTGTTGGAGCAGATTTTTTTTTTTATTTAATATGTGCAAAGGTAAGCCTTAGATCTGTTGCTACCAGACCCTGAAGAACTAAAAAGAAAGCCTCTCTGTAAAAGCCACACACCAACCAGAGCAGGATGAGATACATAAAATGAGAGAGGGAGGAGCCTCCCACTGCAGGCCGCCTGGGTCCAGGTCATTTACCACGTGCAGCTGGCTCCTTGCTGGCAGACGATGAGGGCTGGCTTGGCTCTAAGTCCTGCTTCCCATGAGACTTCCGGTGAATCCGCCCAGCCGCACACTTTACCCCTTCCCAGTGCCCTTTGGGTAAATAAGAAGAATCAGAAACCTATTTCCTCTTCCAGGAAGACCATCCCTTACAGTACAAAGGTTAAAGCCTCCTGATAGGTGATCTTGACACTTCTCTTGTACTTAGAAGTGATAGAGCCCAGCTGGGTGTGGTGGGGCACACTTGTAATCTCAGCTACTTGGGATGCTGAGGCAGGAGGATTACAAGTTTGAGACCAGCCTGGATGACTGTCTCAAAATAAAAAGGGTTGTGCATGCAGCTCAGTGGTAGAGCATCCTAAGGACTCCTAGCTGAGGGTCTCAGGCCATGGGAAGCCAGTGGCAGGTACCACTCTAATGCAGGCATTCTTGTTGAGCATAGACAGAGAAACCTTGCCAGTGTGAGCACCCATCCCCATCCTCAAATTGCCAGTTGTGTTGGGCTGGTGTCAGACATGCACTGTGTTCCTCTATGGCACCAGGTAGCTTATTAATGAGCCGTCCAAACCAGAGGAAGTCTAATTATGAATAATTCCCACGGGAGCACCAATGTGTGTGTTTTATTCATTCGTGTAGTTCCATTCCACAAAGGATTTGAGGCACAAAGCCACTTCATGGGCATTCTCAACCAACCCTCAACTCCTCTGGGTGCTTACAGGGCCAACATAAGACTTCCGCAGGCTGAAACAGGCACAGCAAGATTATAGGGATATGCCCAAGGTCCTGTAGCAGATTAGTGACAAATCTAGGGCTTGGTTTGGCCAGGCCACTTAACTCTTGTCCACAGCTTTTCCAGTGTACTGATGATAGTCACATGTCCATGTAGTTCACAGCCACAAGCACATCCTACTTGGCAACTTTGGAGCTCACCCTGTGACAGAGAACCCTGCCCCAGTGCAGTACCTTTTTCTTGGATACTCAGCATGTCCTGTGAATCTGGGCTAGCTCTTGCCTCTCTGAGCCCTGC